TATTTGAAATTACCTAAGCTTTCCCTTGTAACATGTCAACATATTCGATATTGTAGACATTAACTTGACTGATATTACCGTATTTTGCCATATAAACCACCCGGGGTCTCTTACATTTCACCCTCTTATTTAATTAGTAAAAAATCACGTGGAGGTCTACTATAAAGGGGGGCGAAATACGGGTTATTTTATTAATAAAAATCAAAATACTAATTGCTAAATGAAAGAATTTATAAAAAAAAACAACTAATTTAAAATTAATAATTCACTGTATATACCATTTTTTAAATAATAATTGCTAAATGAATATTACGAAAGAATTTATATAAAAAAAAAAAACAACTAATTTAAAATTAATAGTTCACTGTATATACCATTCTCTAAACAAAAGTCAAACTGTTAATAGTATTTAATTATAATTTCTGTATAATAAATTGCAAGATTTCGTTACATAAAACTTTGTTGTTTCGAAATTATACTATATATAACTTAAAAATTCGAGCTTATAATCACTTTGAATCCTGTACTGTCTCTATAGTCTCTACAGCATGATGAGCTTCGTGATTTTCTTGAGTTTCTTCACTTTCAACTAAATGTAAAATAGATTCAAGTTAGAATTTAAAGTTTATACTGAATTACACTATTATCACACTATTATCACACGATTGCACATAACAAAACTTTTTATAAGAACATGAAATCGTATGATAGTAGTGATCCTCCTATGTTTGAACATACATAACCTCACCTTATTTAGATCATCCTCTTGTTGGCAATCTAAAAAGTATAAAACGCAATTATAAATAATTCAAGTAAAAATTCGTGATAACTGTTATTACTGTATTTTACCTGGAAGCTTTGGTAATTTCAAATATTGACTCTTCCATGCTGTCTTTGGATGAACGTTTGTATAAGCATTTGTTGCAATATCTGGAATCTGTTTATCTGCTGCTTCAAAAGCTTTTCGAATCTCTAATTCTTCATCACTTAATTCTTCAATATTCCCATTACAAATATCTTTCCAGTATGCAATATCACGTTCAATCACATCCATGGTTGGACGTTTTTCAGGATCTGTATCCAAACATTCGTTTACCAATTGTACATAACATTCAGGTGTTCCTTCTGGACATTCTGGTCGAACGCCTTTGCATACTATGTTAACAAGTCCAAAATCATGTGGATGATCATGAAATGGATGATTTCCTCTTGATATTTCAATCATAATCATCCCGAATCCATAAACATCCGTAACCTCTCTATATTCTTGCCCTTTAAGAATTTCTGGTGCAATATACGGTAATACTCCAAATATTGTTTCATTACTTTCTTCCTTTGATTCTTTTGAAATTATAGGTTTATAAATTTTTGATCTTATAATCTCATTACCTTCATTATCTATTTGTCTCGTCTGTAAAATATTACCGGTATGAAAGTCTTTGTGAATTGATTTTTCAAAATAATGTAATTTTGACAGACCACGAGCAATGGAATCAAGTAAATAGAGCTTTGATTTCCATTCCAAGTCGCTAAAATTGGATTTTAAATAATCTCTAAGATCTCCATATTCGAAATATTCTATAACCACCACGTATTTTTCTATGCTTGGATAATACGTTATTCCATAGAAATTAATAGGGTCGGATGATTTGGCATTCTTGTAGTATG